CACAACCTAGTAGACTGTTTTTAACCCTAGATAAAAACTTTAACTCAAGGGTGGAAATAACTTTTAGTGAAGTATTGGATGCACTGTCAAGATATTCAAGAAGGCTTGATTTTATGAATCTGAAGGAGATGTACATTTAATTCTAATGACTACAGGACTAAAGAAACAATTTTATTATTTTTCCTAGTTTGTTCTGTTTTTTAAATATAAAATGTATAACAAATTCATGTACATCCATTTAGGTTAGATTTGTTTTTGCTTTGATCTTCAACTGAATAATATACCCCTAAACCCCTAGCATGTTAGCATAGCTTCTGGTTTCTTTTTACTTGGAGAAAAATATGTATTAAGTTATCTGTGGTGATGTACCACACCATCAGCATCCCCCTTTTCAAAACCCTAGATCCACTCATGTCTCCAGCTGATCCTGGCTCCCTGCAGAGCCCAGATGGAGCAGAGCAGGAGTAGCTTTGGAGCCAATTTACACCCAGGGCAGATGGGGACAGCATCAGAAGTGGGTGGTAAAGGGGGAAGGGGAGGGAAGGTGTCACTGAGCAGGGGGGAAAGTAGATGGAGAATCCTTACTTGTTTTGGGGACTTAAAAAAGTTCTGATGCTGCTCTTGCAGCATCAACTGAAAGCGGGGTGGGGGTAGGGGACTGCATCCATACTGAACGCCCCCAGATCCACCCTGTATATATGTTGCATCTTGTATTAATACATGCTATTCTATGTATGCCACACAAGCAAAATCAGCAAATTAATTGATTAAAAATGTGCACAGTACTTACGCATGTTCTATGTCTGTAACAGAATTGCAGTGAACTTCTACTGTCATATATACATATATATTACACATACACACACACACGCCACCTAAGTTTTCAGGTAAATTGCTTTTACAGTCAACTAATTTGTGTTTTTTAATGGGCCCAAGAAAGTCAGTATCCAATTGTTTATCATTTCTGTACGTATTTCAGTAAATAAACATATTTCACAGACTATAAAGAGAAAGTGAGGCAAATATTTACATATCTGTCTATTCTCTGTAAACCACTATTACCAATATTTTTCTTATCCACATACAGAAGGGATAAGAAGGCACCTATCTAGTAACCAACAGTGAGCCTTACAGCAACTTTGGTTGGAAAGATCTGAGAATGTGTGTGTGTGTTCGTTCCCACATGCTTCCGCAGGTCTGTGAGGAAACTTTTAGGACAGGAAAAAGTATGTAATGACAGAAATGGATGTGACATGTATGTGACAGCAATATTAATAGGTGTTTGCCAAGTTTTAAATGAGTCTTGCTCAATAAATTTAACAATTTCTTCTGAAAAGATTGTGATTTCTACTGAATTTAAATTAGTTTTGCTGTGTTAAGGAATATTTTATGCATTAGCACAGGGGTGGGCAATTATTTTGAGAGGAGGGCCACTTATTCAGTTTTGGCAGGCTGTTGAGGGCCGCATGGGTAGCCCTGCCCCTTGACAGGTGCCCCGCCCTCTGGTCACCATCTTGGGACCAACATCCCAATGTCTTGGGACCAGTGTCCCAGGGCCAGCACCGGTGGGGCCCAGAGTGGGGCACAGGCTGGCAGGGGTCAGTGGAGCCAGGCTGGGCCGCACCAGCAGGGAGGGGGGAGCTGGCCCGGCTCCATAAAGCCCCTGCCAGCTGGGACCCTGCGCTCCTGCCGCCCTGCTCTGGGTCCTACTGGCACTGGCCCCAGGACACCGGTGCGGGCCTGTGCTCCCACTGGCTCCCCACCCACTCATACCCAGTGCCCCCCAGCCCCGCGGTACAGGCGTGGGGCATCACACAGCCCTGACCCCCTGCTCGCCGACAGGGAAGAAGCTGGTGCTGATCATGGGGAAAAGTGGCCCCTCACCTGCCCCATGGCTGGCACCCCATGCTGCAGGTGCTCGCAGCCCGCGTGGGGCTGTCTGGAGCAGGCACAAGCAGCCCCAGGTGGACTGTGAGCGGCTGCAGTGTGGGCAGTCGAGGCGCCGCTTTTCTCTGCGCAGGGAAGGAGCCCAGGGAAAAGCTGAGTGCGGGGGGGAAACGGCCCCTCCTCCGCCCCATGCCTGGTGCCCCACGCTGCAGGCGCTCGCAGCCCGCATGGGGCTGTCCAGAGTGGGCACAGGCACGCCACGCAGTCTGCAAGCAGCTGCAGCACTTTCCCCCCACGCTCCTTCCCTGAGCTTCCTGAGCTGGGGCAGCCACATGCTCCCAGCCCAGAAACCTTGGCTGGGGCTTCCAGCTGGCGGAAGGGGCCGGGCAGGTCCCGCTGTTGTTGGAGTCCGCTGGGCTTCCCCTGGGTCCTACTGCCCTTGTTTCATGTCATTTTTTACAGGAACCAAGGGCAGAGAATAATAATTATTCAAATTTTTTTAGGGGCCCCGTTGGCCAGGTAGAATGGCCTTGCGGGCTGCATGCGGCCCGCGGGCCATATTTTGCCCACCCCCACATTAGCAGGTTTGGCTTTTTAGGCCAATCTATAGTAGCATGTTTGTGTTGCTTCAAATATTAGTGGCATACGTTGTAGAAAGTAGTTGAAATCTGAATTATACTAAAAAATATTAGAATTGCTTTGGCAAAAAAATGCTGTAGGACTTTCTTTTTCTTATATAGTAGCTCTGTTTCAGAGGAAGTTTGGATATTGTCATTATTATGAAATCATAATAGTCTCTCCAGAGGTAGGGTTTTAATTAGATTTATCTTATGTGTCTCATTTTGACTAGGCAAGGAAAACCTGAGGAAGTATGTCTTGCATTACAAAGTCTGTCTAACTTTATCCCAACTACATAGTTGGTCCAGTAAACAATATCACCCTATGAAATTCTTGTCCCTCATATAATTTCTGGACCATCATAGGTATAACATCACTCTTACACTATCATTTTGACTATACCTTTTGATGTCTGAAATTTCTCATATATGGTCTTGAATAAGAGGAAAAATTTTAAGAAGATTTTAGGTGTAAATACACAGTGTTAATAAAATGTACCTTTGGAAAAAAATCATCTTACTGAAAAGCACACTAACATTTATTTATTTGTTTGGTCATATATCAACGTTGGCTGGGTCTTGAAACTTCTAATTGTCTTTTCTTTATTTTCTTTAACAAAGTGTATTTTGCAACATTTGAACAGAAGAACTTCATCTGACTAGTGGTCCAACTATAGCAGATGCTTCAGAAAAAGATGCCAGAAATTAATATTGGACAGTTGTAGACCAGCTTGTCCACAGAAGAAATTTCTTCTTAACTCTGTTGCCCCAGTGATTAGCTAATGCACAAAAACATAAGGCATTTTAGCCCTGTTTATTTTTATTCTATTTGCATTAGATAGTTTTCATTTACCATATACCAGCAATTATCTAATCCAGGGGTGCTCAACCTCCTGCCTGAGGGACAAATGCGGCTCACAGAGCTATGGCATCCAGCCCTCAGGGCTCCCCACAGGTCAAGAAATTTGGTGGTGAGAAAGCAGTGGTAAATAATACTGTAACCCCTCTCCCGCTCAGAGATGTTGGTTTTCCGGAAAATTTTGAATTGGAAAATTTTCCAATGCCCTAAATGGAGTGTGATCTCATTTAGCACGTTTATTTGACTTATATTTAGTAAACAAGAGTAAAAAAGTACCCCCACGTTAATTTTATGTCCCAATAGCCACAAGTATTTGAACTGAAATATTTGATTAGGAAAAAAATTAAATACAGCACACTTAATGTGGTTTAAATGTTATATTCAAACAAATTCAAAGTTTTATGTGGAAAGAAATTATTTTTATTGGAACACTTGTAAAAATGTAAAGACAATGCACAATAGCATGTACTTCCCTTAGATTTTTGTTTATATTTAAGGGGAAAAAACAAAGGCACTGAAAACTGTTGACAGACTAATGTTAGCACACCCAAAGAACTGTGCATGATATGCTGTGCTTTGGTTTTGATTTGACCTGCACAGCCAATTAGGTGATAACTTGATTTCTGGTTTGTATTATTATGTGAGTGTATTTACCCCCTGTTTAAAAATCAATAAAACATATTGATGTAGTCTCTGTCTCACTTCCTAGGGATAACCACCTAAATAACATTAATTACAATTTTGAAACTCCCCAGCTTGCCTAATATTGTATTGGCATCCATTCATTGTTATTAATGACTTTTATGAAACAATGAATTTTTAGAAATGGAAAATTGTCCATGAAAAAATAAAGCACTGGAAATTTTTCTGCCCCACATCTCTGCTTGTACTGCCAAATTCCTAAACCCCATAGACTGGATCAGGGTCAAGCCATGTCCCATACAATGATACATTTTATATCAAGCCATGCAGCCTGACTGGGGCCAGGCTATGCCCCACACAGCTGGATCTGGGCCAAGCCATGCCCCCTTCTCCTTCAGAGCCCAATTGGGCCCTGCCTCACTGCCCTGTGCACCAGATGGAGCCCACCAACCAGATCCAGCCTGCTGGTAGACTGAGCACTGCCCACCTCACCGGACCAGGAACACCACTGATCTAGTCCTTTTTTGAGACCTACTAAGGTCTTAGCCTCAAGGCTGTTTTATGACAATAAGTTTCAAAGGTTAATTATCCATTGCATAAAAATATTTTTAGTAAACTTCTTGGGACTGGGATCATGTCTTCATAGATGTTCAGGCAATATCTAGGGTAACAGGATCCTTATTTTGATGGGGCCTCTGGGTAAATAATTAATGACAATGGACTAACTGGAATTGCAGATTGGAGGGGAAGAAATTTTCTGGCTTATTTAATCAGATGCTTTGTGCCTGTGGTATGTACAAGGGACCAGAGTGAATGTTCTTATGGATCCCTTTGGGAAATCAGTTCACTGCAAATTGGGGGGGGGACACGACTGGATTTGACAGCTTGGGAGGTCTTTCCAAGTCCTTTGTTTCTAGTTAAGTTGTTATTTACTATGTCTACCCACTCCAAAAACTACAGCACAGTGACTACAGTGGCTGGTCCACATAGAAAGAATGGAAGCAATCTGGACACCAAAGAAAGCGCCCCTTGGCTGTCAGAGGGGACAAAGCCACATGGACAACCAAGACAAAGATGATGTACTGTCAGACCTCTATGGACACGAAATGTGCATGACTGGAGATGAAGGCACAAAACAGATGGGAATGGATGAAGATAGTGGAGGCAGCCAAATCCCTCTAGGGCCGATAGTGCTAAATTATTTTACTTTTTATTTTACTTTTAGTCTAAAAAAGGGAATTATAATTCTGTGGGATTTGTAAAAACTGTAACCCATCACTTCGAAGATATCTCAAATCTGTTAAGTAAATCTCAGACAGAAGTCCTTGGGAAATGCATTGGTCTAGTTCAAAGCACCATTTCCCTCACTGGTGGTCTAGTCTCGTTCCCTGCCCTTTACCGCTGAGGAGCGCAGCAAGATACGGGTGGCTCCGCGGACGATTCGAAGAGGCCATGTCAGGAATCACTGCATTACCTCTTGCTGGCAGCTGGACTCTACCTGAGTCCTAGCCTGCTGGGATGAGGCTGGCAAGACTGAAAAGATCTCCCTTCAAGGAGGAATTCAAGCGAGCGGCGGCAGAGGCAGTCCGCTCCTTCCCGTGTGCTCGGCGCCGGACAGGGCGGGAGCGAGGGGTGCCCAGTACTTAGCGGAGCACCGGGCGGAGAGGCTCTTCCG